AATAAACAAGCGCGGCAACGCAATAAAATATCTCATTCAGAGAGACTAGTTAGAACTTTATCGCACTCAAAATGTGTTTTTCTTTGATAGTACCCGTCGCGCAAAACAGGTTCCCACCGCTTTCAGACACGCAAAAAGAATGCAACTTTTGTCAAGCGCTATTTTTATACGAACACGTCAGTCTCTCACAATATCGTCCGAAGTAAACAAAGTTCCTACGCTATCTGAAACTGCGCGAAAGATTTCTTATTCTCGTCGGTCAGACATACTAGTGAAATGGCAGATTCCAAGCGATGAGAAACAGAAGCTTTTTATTTTCTCTGCCTCTTTTCTCTATTAAAAACATTTTCATCTGGATAATGAAAATATTTTGCGCTTTCATGTAGGTAAAATACATGGGAGCTGCTCCGGTCGGCGGACGCGTGGCGAGCGTGCGCGGTCTTCAGGAACCTCTTCGTCAGCTAATGGAACGCATGGAGGGATGCGTGAGGGCCGAGCTGGAGGTCTCCAGGCGCGGGCTGACGTTCCGCACGAGCGAGGTCTGCGAGAAGACTAATCCTTTCCGCAGAATAGCGGTGTGGAGTGCCCTGCGGCTCCGATGCAAGAGAATTCCATCGGGCGATGTGCACCACGCCTTTTTGCCTTTGGTCGGCGATCAGGACCAGGGACAGACGATGGAGGACAAGCACGCCGATCTCTACAGGTGGGCCCCTACCACGATGTATCGTTATACTAGGTGGTTGCATATGAAATGGCCGTTTTTTAAATGAAACTTTCACCAATTGCTCTCAAATGTCGAGCAACTGTTGAATAGTGGACACCTAGTTGTTCCGCAATATCTCTAACAGTTTGACGTCCATCGGATTCCACCAAAACCCTTAGCTCGTCGTTGTCTATGGCCGTTTCAGGGTGACCACGAGGCTCATTTTCAAGGCTTACATCTCCTGAACGAAATTTTCCAAACCAACGCCCAGTTGTTCGTTCACTAGTTGTGCTTTCTCCAAATGCCGTGTTAATGTTTCTGATTGCTTCTGCTACATTATGTCCAAGTTTAATCTCGTAAAAAAAAAATACTCGTATTCGTCTCTTATCCATTATTTCGAGTTGGCTGGTCACAAAAACGTTGACAGTGATCAATCAAAAAATGAAATATGGGTTTTGAAGGTCAGGGTTGTCACTTTAATTTTTTTACGTATTAAAACGTCACCAATGTTAGCAATCTGCGAAAACAGCCATTTCATGTGCAACAACCTAATAATCAGTTTTCTGATCGTCACCTATCAATATTTAGAGCTCACATCCATATTTAAAGATTGTATACGAACAGAGTTTTAATTTTAATTTTAGGACAATGCGCGGTATAAAAAATGAAGCAGAATTCTATCCTCCGATCTTCGCCGTGGTGATGCGGCGGCCTGGGGCCGCCAGGCTCTTGGAGTGTCACGCATTCGCCTGCGAATCCGAGGAAGACGCGATAGCAGCCGCGGCCACGTTGTATCGCGCTCTGCTCGCCGATCTGGACGCGAATCGGCGACGACCTCGTCACGCGAACGGTATCGGCTGCGTCAGCCTGGCTTCCGTCGCCTCCAGCGTCCGCGATCCCAGCCTCAGCAGCAGGATCAGTTGCCTGCTGCCTCCGCCACCAAGACCGAACGCGCCGCATCCTGTCAGACCACCCAGAACGAAGAAGACGTCCATGAGCAGCTCCGTCACTGAGGATGAAGGCGGGAAGCCTAGTTTGCAGAAGGTACCACGTAGGAAGAAGAAGAACTCCGACGTGAAGGCCGAGGACATCCTCGAGGCGCGCGGAAGGAGACGTGACAATGCCAAAGTCGAGAAGAACAACGTGGGTCAGAACAACCGAGACATCGTGTTGTCCAGAAACGAGGAGCTGCAAAATTCGAAGAACAAGATGTTTTCCGTTAAGGACCAGAATTCTTTAAGGATCGAAATCGAGTCTAACAAGCCCGATAAAATTTACAGCGCTCATGATAACGACACGGACGGCATTTACGACAGGCAGTCGAACAAGTACGAAAAACTGTACAAGCGGAACAATGCGAGGAGGGAGCCAATGAGCACGAAGGATGACATTTACGAAAGAAATTATGGATCGTACAATTTGAACCGAGCGAACGCTGGGAATTGCGATTTGTACTCTTCCGGGACTGACAGCGTTCTGATATACGACAAGGTGAATAAGGCCGGAAGAAACGAGATGAGCTCCGTTTACGAGCAAGCCGGCAGAAAGAAGGAAACTATCTACAGTTCGCATATTGAGGACGCCGATAAGATCCACAGTCTCGGGAAGGAGGACATTTACACGGGCAAGAGCAACAGAAACAATCAGATGAGAAGCTGCCAGGAAGACATCTTCTTCGCGAAGAACTTGAAGAATAATGGACACTATCATTCGCACCACGAACATTCGGATGGCACGACACACCAGAGACGCTCGAGGGACCCGGAGAGAGTGTACTCCGGCAAAAAAGTCAGCCGAGTCGTCACCATGGACAAGCCATTGAGGAAAGAGCAGTCGGATCCTGGTTATTCACTGAGCATGCCGGAGTACAGTCGTCCGCGGGTGAGAAGAAGAAGCAGAGCGGGCAGCGAGCCGCCCGTCAGTCATTCGGAGAACGCGAACAGGATCCTGCAGGAGAACGCGCTGAAGAGATCGCAGAGTGACGTAGACGTGGACAGAGGGGACCTGATGACGAGGGTCGAGCTGCCTAGGAGAGGCAGTTTCCTGACGTCCGGGAGCACTCGGCGAACCAACAACGTCAAAGGAGGCACTCCGCTCGGATTTACGGAACTGTTTGACGAGTTCAGGAATCAGGAGGGCTTGACCAGCGTGGACGACATTTTGGCAGCCATTATAGGTAGAGGAAAAGTCCCCTATAAGATAGGAACCTAATATGTGATAGCGGAGTTTCTGTTAAATTAAGGCGTCATTTGTGGGTTTCACCATGGATTTATTGCCCTTGGAGTGAAATCTATTTAGTGGAAAATTGATTGTTAAATCGTGCAATCGTTACGAAAAAAGATTTGTGATTGAATTTGAACGTTGAAAGTCTACGATCTCATATTAGACTCCTATCTCGTAATAGAGAAATTTCCTCTAATAATCTGTCAACACACTAGATAATAGGGTGTTCAATAAAAAGTTTAATTCTTTTCGTGATTTTCTTTAGATCCGGAAGGTATGTCGTTTAACGACCTAAAGCCGCTCTACAAGGAGTTCTTGCTGAAACTGGCCGCGACCTTAACGCAAGATGAGCTGTATCAGAGATCCGCTAGTATCATGAGAAGGCGACGGAGGCCGCAAAGAAGAAGGTCGAGCCGTCGATCTTGCTTATTGGGCAGAGCTATAAAGAGGTCAGTCTCGAGACTGAAAGGCGGCCCTACGGAATTCACCTCCGTGATATTCCCAGCCAGAAGATTGAACGACAGCTTCGGTAGCAGCTCGTCATGCGACGTCAGGAATAATCATCGGAATCGAGTGCTCGCGAGTAGACTCGGTAGGAGAAAGTCCTCGCGGAGGACTAGCAAGAACGGGATATGCCAGACGACTTCGGAAGACAGCGACACATGTTCGTAGAAATATTGCAATTAGAACTCCAAATTGATCGTAATCTACATCTTCAGTAGTTTACCTCGTCAATTCCTCAAAATGTTACAAAGGAGTGAAACATATAATTTATAAAACATATTCTATAATAATATAACGAAATACCGGAATCTCTCTCTTTCTCTTGGCACGATGTGTATTATATTGATGCATAGTAATTATAAAACTACGCAGGCAGACGATTGAGTCGCAGCGTGGGTGCCACCGCGAACAGGAGCAGCAGCGGATACGTGAGCTGCAGCGAATGCAGTTACGACTCCGAATCGTGTACGTGCGTGTCGGCGGATAAGTGTTACTGCTCGTTGTCCAGAAGAATACCGGCCACGCCTGCGCCAGGAAACACGGTTGTTTGCGCTTGCGACACTGACAGTTGCTCCGAGAGCAACAAGTGTTACTGCGCGAGGAAGCCGATACAGCCGACTATACTGGAGCAACTCAGGCAGAAGGGAATCGTGCCGTCGGAGAGCACGCTCAGCAGAGGAGACAGTCCCGAGAGGACCCGAGGTTCGAGGCTCACCAGTAGTCACAGCTCCTCGCGCAATACCGACTTCCTCAAGGTAGCCAAGGAACTTTACGTTAACTATTAATCTTATTTTAATGTTTGCAGTCGTGTTAACGTCCGTTTGTATGAATTCCACTGCAGAATCGATCGTCGTCTGTTTGCGGTAGTTCGGATAACTTGGCCTTAGATTACGATCTCTTCAGCCCAGGGAGAAGATCCCAGCAGTCGTCCGGCAGCGAGAAAGTACTCGTGGTCAGCGCCAGAGATACTCAGGGCCGCTTGGTTTACGTCGGTGGCGCGGACCGAGACAAGAAATATTCCTCCCGCGGCAGCGGGAGATCCGGTGCGCATCACGAGGCGCTCTCCATCAAGAAGAGCGCGGAGATCGCCGCGGTTTTTGGTGCGGGCGAGAACAATCGTATCTCGAGAAGGGCTAGTAACGCGTCAAGTACGAGAAGCTCGATCAGCCTCGAGGCTGGTTTGGGCTACTTACCTTGATGGAAATATCCAAAATTAAACACTACTCTTGAATATTTAATATTTAATATTATGATGTACGTGTTCGTGTAACACCTTGCCATTCGCGTTACGATCGATAAAGGATCGTTCACGAACATATCGTGATTCAATTAGTCGTTTCTCGATAAATAATATATGCAACTACTTACTTGTACCTGTTTTCATCTTGAGAGAGATTTTTAGCGCGTAAGTTGCGGGAAATGAAAATTATTTATATACTTTATTCCAAATTTTAAGCTTCCTTGTAAGCGACAAAGATCAAGTTGTGACACTTCTTTGCTACGCCGGACCTGATAGTTTATTATTAACGACGGGGCAGTGCAATATGAGAAATGCGAATACAAAGAGTCGAATGTGTTATGAATGACCATTTTTACGTTCGTTTCTTCGTTAGATAATGCATTATCTAACGTATTGTGTACACTGTATGTGCAATATTTATAAAATACTATACATATTTATAATGGAAACTTTTTTGCACTATCTATGTATCGCTAATAAAGTCTTCATCCATCTTATGGAATGTCTCGGTGTACTCGGACGGCACTTCTACTTCCTTCAAATTGTCCAAGCCGATTTCTTCTTCCGTCCTGCGACAAAAGACGATGCGAATTTTTATATATGTACAATAGGGTGGAGCATTCAAAAAAA